GTCCCGGGCCTGGGGGCGGCGCTGGCCTTGCTGCTGCTGCTGCTGCCCGCAGGCTGCCCGGTGCGCGCGCAGAACGACACGGAACCCATCGTGCTAGAGGGCAAGTGCCTCGTGGTGTGCGACTCCAGCCCGTCAGCCGATGGCGCCGTTACCTCCTCGCTGGGCATCTCCGTGCGCTCGGGCAGTGCCAAGGTGGCCTTCTCCGCCACGCGCAGCACCAACCACGAGCCGTCCGAGATGAGCAACCGCACCATGACCATCTACTTCGACCAGGTCAGGCGCCGGCCGCCCCGCGCTGGGGGTCGCGGGCCCTCCTCCCCACCACCTGCAGGCTCACTCCTTTCGTGGGACGCCCTTCTTGGCCTCCCTCCGCTGGGTAGCTGGGCCTTCGTTAAACTCTGGGTCGAGTTGCCACTTGCCTGGTGGAGAGCCCATGAGAGCTGCCTGAGTGGCTGGAAAGACGTTTCCCAAAGGGAGACAGTGACCTCTGTGCGTTTTGCACAGAGAAAAAAGACTGTTGTTTGTGAAGGAGGCAATGGGTTACCCAGGTGGAGAACCTAGGGACTGAGGAGTGGAAACCTCTGGGCTTTGGAAGGGCCTTTTCCCAGGGCTTCCCGCTGGGTCATTCTGGTTGGACCCCCTGCTGAGAATTTGCATTTCCACCCCAAAGCCACTGAATCAGAAGGGCATTGAACAATACAGGTGTCTGCAGGCGGGTACTGGGGGGTCACCTGGGGACCTGTGGATTGTGATTAGTGTATCCGGAGTGGAAAGGTCTCAGCAGGGGCTGAACTGGAATGAACCGGTTCCCAGCCTTGGTTTTTCCAAAGGTTTCAGTCAACAGCAGCAACTGTTTATCTGCAGTTCATTCTGGGAGATGGACTGGGAGGGTCTGTCCATGTTCAAGAATGAGTGGGGATGGGCGGGGGCGGCACCCAGCCAGGAGGGAATCATTCCCTGTGGCCACACACAGGCACAATCAGAAGTCAGCCTTCAGCCATTTCCCTCCCCCTCCCTGGTCCTAAGAAGAGAGGCCAGAAAGAGCTCAGGCCTTCCACCCGCCTCCCCCAGAGGCTGTCCTCACTCCCCGTGTGTTCTACCCTGCCCCCTCTCACTTTGCTGCAACAGATTGGACACGTCATGGTGGTTTCCAAACTTTAGCTCATCAGTCTCTTCCTTGCAGCCAAGTGTTCCTATTAATGGCTATGTCTGGTGTGTTTACTGAATGAATCTCCGTGGCTTCGCCATGGCCTCCAGCTGGTGTCTTCATTGCTTGTAACCCTAAGGGCCATGGCTGGGGTTTCCTTCCTTCCTTCCTCTCTTTCTTTTCGTTGTCTCTTTGTTTAACCTGTTTTTATTTACAAGGCATAAATACATTTGTTTTAACTGTGTCCTAATAAAGGAGAAGGGGCTCTGGTGGCGTGGTGCCTAAGGCACTTGACTGTTAACCAGAAGGCTGGTGGTTCAAACCCACCAGCCCCTCCTCAGAAGGAAGACTGGACAATATACTTCCGTAGTGATACCGTCTTAGAAACCCAAGGAGGGTCGCTGTGAGTCGGATGGGACTCAACGGCAGTGAGTTGTTTTTTTTTTTTTTTAATAAAGGCAACAACAAAGAAATGAATGGGAACTGTGAATACGTTCTTCTGTATGTGACTTTTAAATGATTATTGTTGTTACTATTGTTGTTGTTGTTATGGCCATGCCTGAGACATTGCTCTCACAGTATCTGCACAGCCATCGGCAGGTGTCTGTCAGCCTGTGATATGGGGTAACCAGTAGGAGGACTCTAGTTTTCTGACTAAGTTGACAGTGTAGTGACATGATGGTTCCTGGTTCCCCCAGTTATGTACTCACTGAGACCAGCCTATGTGGGCCTGCCTGGGTTTTCTCTGTTCACAGCAGCAGCTTGAATTTGCTGAATTTGTTTCCTGCATTCCAAGATGAGGAGTTGGGGTGAAGACAGAGGGGCAGCTCCAAGGGCAGGGCGTAATGGCAGAATCCTTTATTCTCCTCTGAAGCCTTGCTAGGCCTACTGAGAGCAGAGCCTTCCTGGACTTTGAAGGGAAGCAGAGTCCTGCAAGGCTTTGTCGGGAACAATAGAGCTCAGTGTCTGTGCAGGTCTGCCTGTGACCAGCAGTGAAGTGGTCTCAGCTGGGCTGCAGAAGTCCAGGTTCCCCAAGGCCAGGAATGACTGTTGTTGGCTGCAGTTTGGAACACTCATTGTGAATCTGTCATACAATAAGTGGGCAAGACATGGAGAAGAAGCAAAAGCTACTCAGCTGACATTTGTTTTCTGATCAGATGGTGGGGTCCCTAGTCTGGGTCCTGCTGTTGCTGGTGGGGGTAGAAGCTGAGGGCACCGGCCAGCCACTTTCTGACTGAATGGGATTGTGTATTTGTGTGTAAGTTGGAGGGAGGAGACCACTCAGTGTGGCCGGTCTCTGGAGGAATTGCATTGTCATGCGGACCCTCTGCCCTTCCAGTGCAGCTTTTGCTGCTGCGGCCCTCTGCCTTTCATTCCAGGAGAACCATTGGCAGGGACCCATGATCCTGAACACGCTGGCTCGAGTTGTCGTGGTCTTCCATGTTGCAGGACTCCCTGAGTTTGAGCTGAGGGTGTCCACGCTCTGGAGTCAATTCTCCCTCTCCTCGTTCAGGTGCCTCTGCACCCCCTGCAGCCCAGCCAGGGAAGTGAGCCCACTGCTCAGCGCAGTGCTCCAGAAAGCAGGGCAGCTGCGTCACGCTCTGGGCTCTCACTCACTTGGCGGCTTGATTGAGCACCTACTGTATGCTGCCAGAGCATGGGGCAGGCACTGGGAAAGGCTGCAGGTAAAGACTGGACGCAGCCCTTCTCGCTGGAGCGCTGAATCCCCGCTGGATCTCGCCTCACTTTGCCTGTTTCTTTGGCTTCTGACTTGTCACCCTGCCTCTTCCTATTTGGTATAAAACTCTATTTTGTTCCAGGAAGCCTCATGTTGAGTTCCTCACAATCCCACACACCTCTACAACAGACTCAGCTGACACTTGGGCTACTGTCTTCCTTCCCTTCCTCCTCCTACATACAGCACGCTCGTCCACTGTTGGAATGCTGAAACAGTGATGCTAGGAAAGGACTTCAGGAAAGCTTTATTAGGCACAACCCAGGAGAATGCCTTTGGAGACAATTCCTCTGTGGGGGCTTGACACCCCGCCCATGTCCTTCCCAGGCTGGCCTAGGAGCGCTAAGGCTGTTGCCTGCCCTTCTGCAGCCAGTGAAGGACCTGGAATCGGTGCTGAAAGCATGTTGATGTGAGGCTGACAGTGTCCTCGCTTTATCCCTCTTTCCTTTTGCAGGTTTTAGTAAACATCGGCAACCATTTCGATCTTGCCTCCAGCATATTTGTGGCACCCAGGAAAGGGATTTATAGCTTCAGCTTCCACGTGGTCAAAGTGTACAACAGGCAGACCATCCAGGTGGGTCTCTCGGGCCACCAGCTGGCCCTTGCAGGGAGCAGTCGGTACTTCTCTGTCGTTCCAGGCCCTTCCCAGGGACCCTGGGCTGCGTGCTGAGCAGGAGGACTGGGGGTGCCTGGGGAGGCTGGGGGAGAAGAGGACAAGGTGTGGAAGTGGGGTCATTTCTGGTCGGCTGAGTGTGCCCTTTGCCTTGCAGGTCAGCTTAATGCAGAACGGGTACCCCGTGATCTCGGCATTTGCTGGCGACCAGGACGTCACTCGAGAAGCAGCCAGCAATGGTGTCCTGCTGCTTATGGAAAGAGAAGACAAAGTGCACCTCAAGCTGGAGAGGGGCAACCTCATGGGGGGCTGGAAGTACTCCACCTTTTCCGGCTTCTTGGTCTTTCCTCTATAAGCTCAGAGGGCCCTGCATGGCGGGATCTGCAGTCTGGACCCAGGAAGCCCCCTTCCTCCATGATACCCCGAACTCGCTGGAAGGTGACACTCGTTCGTAACCAACCATCAGACTGTGCAGTGGACCTCCTGCTAACTCTCTAGCGTTTCCTCTGAGTATTGACAATGCCTCGGGAACCTGGCCGCTAATTAGTTTTAGATGACAAGGTCTTAAGGAGACGTGAACTTATTGATCGGAGCCATTTGTACTTGTGATTGTAAAGTCAATATCGGATTTTGTCATTGGGACCATGAGCATTTCTTCTTTTGTTTGTACATTGTGTCGTTGTCCCTGAGCGAGGAGGAGCCCACTGGCCCAGGATGGATGGCCAGTTGCAGTCAGGGCTCAAAGCAGGAGCGTGGCAAGTGAACACCTGTGGGCCAGCCCTTGAAATGTGTTCCCTGTGTGTCTGTGTAGCCTTAAGAAGGAGACAGGCGCCACGTTCCTTCTGTGTTTTTTGTCCCCCTGGGTGGATGGGAGGACTTGGGAGGGGGCTGGGGACATTGTGAATCTATCAGGAAGTGCTTTACCCAGATATGCGATTTTGCACGACTGGACTGCAACTTTTGTTTTGTATTGTTTGTGTTTTTTCTCGAAAAGCTTTACTTTCCTTCCACACCCAGCTCTCCCTCCTCCCCCCAACTCTTCACCCTCATGTAGGGGGTGGGGAGAAGAAGTATGATAACTTCATGGATGAGACCAAACCAAACCAAACCAAACATACCTGGGTATTTTGCTTTGGATGAGACCTACGGAAGAGCAAAAAGTACCTGTATATCAGAGTAAAACTAACCTGTGGACAATTCCGTGGATTCGTTCAAAGTCATCTTCAGATGCACTTTGAGAACTAGCAGCTTGGAGATTTTAATTTTAATCAGAAAATGCTCTCAGAATGTGACCTGCCGGGGGCGTGTGTGGTGTAATACGAGCGTGGAAGAGGTAGTGACCATGCCCCTACCACATGCTGATGCTGGCCAAGCACGGAGTGTCTCATGTCTCCTCGGATCCATCTCTGAGTGAGGAGATGCCTCAAAGATGGCAGAGGCAGCCCTCTGTCTCCGGAAAGCCCCCTGCTCTGCCAAAGAAAGGGGCCTGTTGACATTCTGGGCAGGCACCTGGAGAGAGCCACCTGGAAGTCACTGCGCTTAGAGGTATCGGCTGAGCTGTCCGCCAGATTCCTCTGGTGTCAGCAGCTCTGTGCAGTATTGCTAGGGCACAGCCGGGCACGGATGGGTGCAGGATATATATGCCAAGGACTGTCATCAATCCCAAAGCTATCAAAGATGAGACCTCAAACCGGATGTGAATTTGTCCTTTGTGTAACAATGTAACCAAAATATCAACGCTCAAAAGTCATCCTTTAAGATTCAGAATAAATGGGTTTGATGTCTGGCTTGCTCTTCTCCCTCCACACCGTCTCCTGATTCTCACAATATCCGTAAGTAAGACCAAAGCTTAGGAACAAGTGACTCCTCACTGTGCCTCTACCAAACACCCACGCTGCCATACACCCATGCTCTCACACCCGTAGAGGCAGATCTCGCTGTGATGCTAGGTGGATACCACTCTTAGATACACACAATGTAGACTGTGTGTGTGTGTGTGTGTGTGTGTGTTTATCTCACACAGGGAGTTTTGGGAGGGGAGAGTGTCGAAAAGATAGCATTAAGAAGGTTTGCTGGCCAATCTTCTCAATTATCTTTGATGTCTACAGTGTCCAGTCCAGTATTTCAATTGGCGAATGCTGACCCAAAAGGAACAGCTGTTGGAAAAGTTTCAGGTGTTTAAAAATGGTGGGTGGAGAGAGGGCTCTGTTTTCTCATAAGAAATGCAGTGGGAATGGTATCAGTAGTGAAGGTATAGCTTGACTCAGGGTCAAAGTTTGACTGTCCTTAGCTGAGGAGTGCAATGGGATGCAGAATTTAATTTGAATGACGAGGTCTGTTTCATTTCAGGCATTGGGGGGAGGGTGGGATCAAGAAAAGCAGCCGCAAAGAATTGGGGTTATTCTGGAGAGAGCCTTCAAAGGGTCAGTTTTAGTGTTGGCGACGTGGACAGAAGGAGACAGCTGGTAGGTTTTCTCTGTTTGTGCTTTGTTATTCAGGCCTCAGTCCCCCATCTTCTTCACCCTCTAAAACAAGCAGTTCGCCTCATTGGAGCACAATGTAGCATTTCAGAGACATAACAGGAGTACTTGTTATTTTTACTGCCTAATGATACATAATACAGTTGTTTGTATTTACAACTTTATCACACAGGTTGTCATATGGTTATACTGTAATAAAGAATAAGTTATTAAATAGACCAATCTAAGAATAAGTGCATGTTAGGGGCTATTTTATATTAGAAAAAAGGCAGTTTCATCCTTTCTTTTAGTCTTATTTTTTTTTTTTAAGATGGATGCCAAAAACCGCATTAGGAAGAAGCCATGAAGATAATGTCTCTGAGGTTCTTTTTCAGCAGAGCAGTGTCTGCCAAGGTTCTCTCTGGCTAACAACCTTGATCTTTGAGGGAGATTAAGCTTCTGAAGGCAGTCTACACAATACATACCACACCCACGGCCATCCAGCTGATTCCCACTCACAGCGCCCCTAGAGGACAGAGTGGAACTGCCCCAGATGGTTTCCAAGGCCATCAATGTCTATGGACGCAGACTGCCTCATCTTTCTCCCATGGGGTGGCTGGCAGTTTTGAACGGCTGACCTTTTAGTTAGCAGCTGAATGCTTTTAACACTGTGTGACCGACCAGAGCCCCTACTGTCTGGATAGGAGAGATCAAAAGGCCAAAGTATATTTTCCTTTAAAAAATATCTATAATATTGGAAGCTGGACATTTAGTACCTCTCTCTGAGCCTCAGTTTCCTCCCCTGAGCCATGGGTGCTGCAGCACCGCCCTATTGGCCCACCTCACAGGGTGGTTTTGATGACCATTGGGAAGTGTTCTGAGAGCCGGGAAACACTGGTCAGATGGGGCGTTGCTGTGTAGGCAAGGTGCTTTGGAGAAGCTGAGTTTTCAGTGTGCATGTATGAAAAGTCATTAATATGAACATATGAGAGTAAGAGGATGGTATATAAACATAGTTCTCCTATTTCTGAACAGTCCATTACAACTGTCACACTATATTGAAGTTTAATTTTTAGCACGGATGCTAATATGACTATATCAAATTCCATAAGTTTTCAAGTCATTCAAATTTTATTGATGTCATTTGACTACTGTATGTGGTTTAAATTCACCTTTCTGCTCCAGTATGTAATATGGAAATTTTATAATAATAATCCACTGTAATATTTTTAGCAAGAGTCAAGAATGAGGTCATGGTATTTTGGCATTATGATAGTATTTTGCTGTGGTTGATACAAGCTAATCCTACTGAAGAGATACAGAAGTCGTAAAGGATTGTAATATAGAACCATTTTGTAACTCAGAATACATTCTAGATTTGAAATACAGCTCTAATGATTTAACTCTAAGTCCTAAAAACCTGTGCTTACCATCTGTCATTCTTGGGCCTTTTTGCATCCTAATAGGTTCAGTTTATGTATTCATGCATAAAAGAAATGGTCTGCATTTTCATAATTTGTATTTATTTTGGCTGCAGGAATATTTGCATGGTCACATAGCTTTACTTGTTTAGATAAACTTTTTTATCTTTAGAAAAATTTAGTTATATAAGCCTCAGAAGAGTTAGGAAATACATACAAACCAAACCAAGAGAAACAAAAAAATTTTGCTGATTTCATTTTATTTGTAATATTTTCCTGCTCTCTTCCCAAGGAAATGACTGGCCACTTACCTCGTAGCCACTCCATTCACTCTCTTGTTGGCCTGTAAACATGTGAATATACACATCTGCTTTCTTAAGACAGTGATACCAAATAAAAGAGACGACCCAGCCCCATTCTACTGAAATGCAGGAATATGTGTGAAGGGGCAGGGCTGCAGGACAAAGAGCACTGGGCCAGTTTGTGTCCCTCGGTATCACAGCACTGTCTAAGGAAGCTTTTATAAGGACAGATCGTACTGCAGTAAGATGCTGTTGCTCTGAAGGAAATAGTTAATGTTTACATTTCCACAGAGTAGTGAGCATGTAATTAGTACATAGACATGCTCAAAGGGAAGGCCCTGGACGTATTTAACACAGTAGAACTCAGGCAGCTTGCACTGAAGCATTCTCAGGGGCTTACTGTGCCCCCCGTCAAAAACGTATAGAAAGAGGGCAACCAGAGAATTACAACAAAGTTTTCCTTTTTCTGGTTGTTTATGTGGGAATATACCTACTATCTGGATTATTTCCAAAGCTTGTGCTTGCTACTAACATGGGATATTACCCACAGATCTTTAAATTGCAGCTCAAAGCCTGTGACAGCTATTTTCCTTGGCCTCTAAGGAGCAAACATCCAGATATAATGAAGGAAGTTGTAACACAGTTTCCATTTGGGTTTTATCAGTTCCTCTTTCTGCTCTCTGCCTCTATCTGTCCTGTGACGCTCTGGGCAGAGTTAGCTACCGCTGCCCACACTCAGTCAGCCTTGCTTCCGTCATTTGGCCGTTGAAACCCGCTGTCAATTGCGGTTGCCTACAAGTCTATGTGCTGCTTTTGCAGATGGGAGGCTACAGCTCCTTGCATTTAGACTTGCTAAACCTCCATGTGTGACATTGCCGACTATGATGTCATTGCAGAGCTCCCTTCTCTCCCCATCCCCCACAAGGAAACACAAGCTGCCAAGACGCCTTTAAAAATAGACTCAGTGATTATAAACTTTTCTTTTAAAAAAACAGCATGTCCACGAGTCTGTGTAATGTCATGCCAAAACATGAATCCTAAGCAAATGAGTTTCCTTCCATCCCTAACCCAGTAGGGTAACTTGAAATTCTAAGGGCACAAGCCACGTGCCCGTGCTCCCTGCAGATAATAGGAGCTCTGTTATCTTCCTAAGTGGGTTTTGCTGTAGACTTC